AAAAATTCTCTTTTCTTTATGAAAAGAAACAATATTTGTGTATCTCTTGCTCTATTTCTGTAAAGTTGATAGTACTTGAGTAAAAAAATTCTTGTAAACCAATATTCGATGATATTTGGTAATTAATATCTTATTAGGTGTACAACTTTGCTTCCGCCGTTTTTCTATAGATGGCTTTAGCGGTAAGTGATGGTCGAAATAAATAGATCATAGACGTCATATAATAAACTTGGGCATCTGTCAACATAACCCCATAGAAACATTAGTCGATTTGTGTCTGCATTGTAAAGTTATTCTCGATTGAAAATGTCAGTTTACGAGCCAAATTCTCGTCTTTTGCGGGAGGTTTTAATTTTTTGCTTCAATATGAAGAAATCTGCGGCTGAGGCTCATCGAATGCTCTCAAATACTTATGGTGAGGCCGCTATTAATGAAAGAATGTATCGTGAGTGGTTTCAACGCTTCAAGAACGGTGATTTTGACGTCGAAGACCGGCATAGCAGTGGAAGAGAGAAGGTTTTCGAAAATGCAGAATTGGAGGCATTACTTGAGCAAGACTCGTGTCAAGAAGAATTGGCACGATCATTGGGAGTGACTCAACAAGCCATTTCAAAACGTCTCAAAGCCATGGGAATGTTTCAGAAGCAAGGAAATTGGGTGCCGTACGAATTGAAACCGAGAGATGTTGAATGGTGTTTGTTTGCTAATGAACAGCTGCTTGAAAGGCAAAGACGGAAGGGATTTCTGCATTGTGACTGGGGACGAAAAATGGGTTTATTACGATAATCCCAAGCGCAGAAAATCATGGGGAGTTCCCGGCCATGCTTCCATGTCAGTGGCCAAACCGAATATTCACGGCTCCAAGGTCATGCTCTGTATTTGGTGGGACCAGCTCGGCGTAGTGTATTATGAACTGTTAAAACCGACTGAAACAATCACAGGCGATCGGTATCGAACGCAATTGATGCGTTTGAGCCGAGCATTGAAAGACAAACGGCCGCAATACAACGAGAGACACGATAAAGTGATTTTGCAGCATGACAATGCTCGACCCCATGTTGCGAAAGTGGTCAAGACATACTTGGAAACGTTGAAATGGGAAGTCCTACCCCACCCGTCGTATTCTCCAGACGTTGCTCCCTCTGACTATCACTTGTTTCGATCAATGGCACACGGCCTGGCTGACCAGCACTTCCGGTCTTATGAAGAAGTAAAAAATTGGATCGATTCGTGGATAGCCTCAAAAGATGACCAGTTTTTTCGACGCGGGATTTGTACGCTACCCGAAAGATGAGAGAAAGTAGTGGCCAGCGATGGACAATACTTTGAATAAATGTATAACCAGTTTTTTTACAATAAAGCCTCGAATTTCGGAAAAAAACGGCGGAAGCAAAGTTGGAGACCTAATATTAACTATCGCGAAAATTACAAAACTGTACAGAGCTTTGTCGACTCAGTTTAATTCGCTTTATCTGTTCACGAGCGTTGTTGGCTTGAATTATCAGACACTCTGTATTATCAAAAAAATATTCAAGACAAGGCATTAACAAATAAAATAATACAGAATCATTGCCAGAACCATACCTCCAGATCATATAGTCACTTTTCTCTTCATAATCACTTCCCCTTCTCAGTTACTTTCCTTCTTTCCTCCATATCTCCATCCTCTCTCTCCCCAAAAAATTTCTTTCCTTAACATTCTCATAACATTTATAATTCTTTGAATGTCACAACGGTCCTAAAGCACTGACGTGGTAACAACAACTTTAACTCTGATCGTTATTGCTTATAATATTAATTGCAAAAAACTTGATTGCGATTTCTGTATCTGACTTTCTTAACATGAAAGTAATTTATATAACTTAACTTTGACTAAATTAAAAATTTGAATATAATTTCTCACTAATCATTATACAATTAACTGTCATTAATTCTATAATGAATTATAGAATTCATCTTTATGAATTATTATATTTTGAAAAAATTGCTTCATTATTTTAATGAAAACAATCCTTATCCGTTTACAATGGAACATTTGTTACTCAAAATTCTTTCAAGATTTTAATTCTATGGACTATGGACTACTACAGATTTTAATTCTATGAACTACTACAAACTTAAGTATATTCAATAAGCGATCATAATTTATACAAATAATGTCTGAATAATTTTATTTCTATAGACCATTATATATTGAAACATTGAGAATGACCCAATCGAGGTTGAAACGTCTGTATATTGTATATTTTACATTTCTTATATATTTTATATTTTTGTTTATTGTTTACATTGAATAATTTGTCAAATTTTTGTTCAATATATCTTTTATAAGTACTAATGATATAATATAATTTTTTGGCTCGTAGCCCTCTTTTGTTATATTAAATTTATAATTTATTGGGCCATATTATTTACATTGTTTAAATTATATAGATTCTTATAAACATTATATTGTTTTATATAGCTTCCCAGCAAACGAGAATGGATTAAAATGGATTAAAATTTTTTTCTATCTGAATGCGTATTTTAAATAGCGAATACTTTTTTTTGGATTTAATTGGATTCAATTAGATTCAATTAGATTCAATTGGATGCAATTGGATTGAAAAATTATATTTTCTATTCAAAATTTTGAATTGAGCAGTATTCACAATGTGTGTGTTTTGTACAGAAAAATATTATTTTTATATTGAAAAGCATAGAGATATGCTCCATACAATTCCTATAAATGAATAAAAACGCAGAATTGAAAAGCATTCATTTTAACATTTTCGTGAATCAATATTTCTGAAAATCTGAATTTCAATTCATTTCAATCTATTCTCATTTGCTGGTTTAAATATCGTTTTTAATCGTAAATTTCAGATTACTTACCTGCTATATTAAATAAATTTATCTATCGTTTTCCTCATATAGCATACCGTTTTGAATCTATTTCTATCTGGTCATATATTAAAATTAATTATATGCTATCATGTTTTTGAATCATAAATTTCAGATAACTCGTTTAAAGTACGTGACATATTTTCTTTATTTCTGTATCGTTTTTATTATACAACTTAAATGTCGGTTTTATTTAATTATTTTAGTCATGTGTTTTATCAAAATTAATAATATTCTATCATATCTTTAATCGTAAATTTCAGATTCTAAAATTTAAGATTAAATTTCAGATTCTAAAATTTACAAAGCAAAAACACGAAAGAATATTATTAATTTTGATAGAACATGGTCAGATAGAAATTGATTGAAATGTCTACCTGAGCTGACGAAAATGATATAGAAGTATAGAAACTTTATCAAATATTTTAGATAAATAATCTGAAATTTTAATTCAAAAACACGACAAGATGTTATTAATTATTAATTTTCATAAAACGTGTATAACATAACATAAATCGTGTTTAAAAACGATAATTAAGTTATATGATGAAAATGATAGAGAAATATTATAGAGAAAATTTTTATTATCAGGCAAATAATCTAAAATTTGAGATTAAAAACGATAATTAAGGTATACGATAAGCATGATACAAAAAATCTATGTACCTTAATCCAGAAATGTCTCTATTATCATAATGTGATTATAGAGATATTTCTGCTAGACTATTATCCCGTAGTTTTTAGATTCGAATCCCGTCGATTCCAATATGCGTTTTCAAAAATTGTAAATTTCTGATGAATAATTGTAATTAATAAATTGCATGTGAAAATACAAATGAATTCTACAAAAGAATAATAGAAAATAACTGTACTTTAATTATTATAAAAAGCTTTTTTTAAAAAATAATATGAAATTTACGATTAAAACAATACAATACTATTAATTATGATAAAACATGACTAGATAGAAATTAAAAACGATATCTAAGCCGTGCGACAAAATAGAGAAATATAGAAAATCTATCAAATATATCAGGTAAATAACTTGAAATTTACGAACTAAAAACACGATTCGATAGAGTTTTCAGATAGAGTTTTTTCCTATCTGATTTTATTGGACTTTTTAAGCAGGGCAGTTTATTTGCAGGGTAAATATCTTTCACTCACTTTTACATCATTTGTCGACATTATTATGACGTTATTATAATAATAGACTGACATAATCATGTCATAATGACGTCTAAATGATATTGATGACAAGTAACTGATGACGTTTACGAGCTTACTGAAAAAAATGACCTCATTTTGACGTAACCTTGTTAGCTGAGATTTTTACTAATGCATATTTCCATTATGTAAAGATTAATTAAAATAATTTTTTAAATCCTGTTACAACATTTTATATTTCTCAATTTTTTTAATATATTAAAATTAATTAAACAAATTAATAATTTATTTATTTTTTAAGGTGAGCTCGAGATTTAAATTTATATAAACTTTTGATGTTTATTTCTTAATAGTAAGATATAATAACAATAAGATATAATTGCAGCAACTTATTTCTAAATTTTAAATATTCTTTATAGTGAATTCAATTAGTATTTACCTTCAATTAGTATCATCGATATACAGAAAATGGGCCATCATGACGTGTGATGGGAGAAAAACGAGTAATATGAGAGACAAATAAATGAACAAATGGATGAACGTTTTTTCTCTATTTACTAAAGCTTGACTAGTTGTTGTTAATCTAACAGTATCTACCAATTAAGCTTTAATAAGCAGAGAAAGAAGTTCATCCATCTGCCTGTCACTTTATTTGTCTTTCTACCTTCTGCCATTGGTGGTCCATTCTCTATGTCTATATATGTGCATATTCTAATTATTTGAAATTTCGCTTCAAGATTTCAGATCCAAGGCTCTATATAGTGCTAAAGTTTTCATTGCGTGTTAAGTTTTTATTTAAAATTTAAATACGTCTTTATTTAAAGTATAAAAACATTATTTAAAATTTAAATACATTAATATTAAAATTTTTTCTTCGGTTTCTTAGGCTTAGAATTAATATCCTAAAAATAAAAATATATCTACCTTATCTCCTCTAGATAACGAAAGAAATGAGTGCTAATGAGGCATTGGCGCCCTTTGAAATTGAATACACAAGGCTTTATGAATCCTTGTACAAAGCCCATAGAAATGAGAAGGAACTATCAGAACAATGCATGCTGCTTAAGGTAAAATTGAAATGCGTCAAGAGAAAATCAAACCAAAAGTTTTTCTGCTTCTTTCGTTTTTTTTCTTTATTTGGAGAATTCATTCTCGTCCTCATACATTTTCTATATGTGCCAAATGTTTTTTCAGAATGAAATTGTGGATAACACGCATAAAATAAATGAACTAAAAAAAACAGTACAAGCTTATCAGGACGATATAGCTCGATTGAAACAGGAAGTCACAAAAATGACGAAATTAGCCGATGCGGCACACGCGCGCGAGCAAAATACACAGGAGATGATTGAGAATTTGCGACTAAATATTACGAAATTGGGTCTAGAAATCGAGCAAAAGAATAAACAACTAGCAGTCGAGAAAGAGTGAGTTCATCTGTAAAATGACAATTGTCAGAAAGATTTACATTACAAAATAAAATTCTTAGCAACCACAGAATATAATTTCATATGACACAGATGTAATAATAATTTACGTATATGTTATGTAGTTATATCTGTATTTGCTAAGAATTCTATTTTGTAGTGCAAATCTTTTTAGATATTGTATCTAGAAACACACACAGTAGTGTCTCGGCGCTAAGACATGGTTTGAAACACTGCCGTGCTCTTTTACGCGAGAATAACACTACTTTTAAGAAAGAGATCGAGTATTTCAATAACAAGATGAATCTTTAGCTTTCTCTTTTTTCTTCTTTCTATTTTTTTGTCATCAAATGATTTAATTAATTTAGTTTATCAATATTTTTATAAAGAGAAAGAGTTGAAGAAGAAAAGAGAAAACATACAAGGACATAAAAAGATGCATGATAAAGAGACAAAACTTCAAGAATATTTCATAAATATATAAATGATTTATAGGGTAGAGTCGGAAGTAGAATAGATACACCAATTCTGATTCAATTATGTGTTAATGCGTATACGTATACAAGGTATTCAAAAAAGATCAGGATGTTTTTGAAAGAAATGTTTCAGGGAAATATCGTAAAGTATAAAAAATCTATTTACAGATCTTATCAGTTATCTTATCAGTTTGACCTTCGATAATGTCAAGGTCAAATCGATTTTTTAAAAATATGACTCCCTATTTTTGATTCCAGAATCTAATAGCTGGTGATAAGAACTTTTTAAAGAGCATGTGTGTACGCTCGTTTTGAAAAGTTCTTGATATTATTTGATTAATAAAAGCAGGATTGGTTTATCCGGCAATGAGGGCAAAATAGACTTGCTTTTACTAGTCAAATAATTGTTATAGTGTTTTGAGAAGATCTTAACACTATTAGATCCAAAAATTGGATTCTGGATCCAAAAATAGGATGTTATATTTAAAAAAACATCGATTTGACCTTGATCTGACTTTGGCGACGCTACCTAATGTTAAACTGATAAGAGCTGTAAATAGACCTTTTTATAACTTACATCTTTTGTTTAAAACATTTCTTTTTAAAACGTCATCCTCTCGAGTAAATTCTGGGTCCAAATCTGTTTTGGACACTCTGTATATAATATGTACGTGTGTGTGTGAGAATGAGTGGTCAAGGCAGGGAAAAGTATGTCACAGGCTAAATCCGAGGGAGACAAGAAAAAGGGAAATTCTTCACTTGGTACTGCTGGAAAGGAGATCTTGTTTTCTCTCTCTTTCTCTCTTTCTCTCTCTCTCTCTCACACACACACCCACACACACACACACACACACACACACACCCACACCCCCCCCCACACACCCACCCGTTGCGTTCACTTTCTAATCCGTTGTTTTCTTTCACTCAGGTCCGATTGCATCAACATTACTTTAATTTTAAGTGAAACTTAAAACTCTCTCGTTTTAAAACCGAAAAAAGACAGGAATAAAGAGTTTCAAGCCTCGCTTGAAATTAGAGTTGGTGCAACCGGGCCTTGTAATATGTAATTCTCCCTCTTTGTATATGAAGTTAGCGTCTTACTTGGTGCAAACCCATTAAACCCTTGAGAGTTTATTTTCAATAGTTCCACAGTTCTATTATAGGATAAATAAATAGTTCTGATCGAGAAACTCAAAATTCAAAACGGAATATCAGGGTCCAGTTCACATTGGGCCAATTTCGTTTAATGAAGATTACAGCCACAGTTTCTTATAGGATTTGAAAAGATATGTGGTTCTACAGATAATGACATAACATTGTTATTTCGATTTTTAATCTTTTGTTTAAAAAATGTTTACGGGAACAAAGCTGAGACATTGTGTGATTTCAAAGAGTTTTGTTAGTTTTATGATACTTTTCGTATAGTTCTAAATGTATTCTAACGCTTTATGAAGAGTTCTAATGATGTAAATTATTTGTTAATTTTTTAAACAATTTTTATCACCTAAGAAAGGCGCTATCAGAATATATGTGTGAGACGCTGGGATTTCCGACAGTTCTGAGGTCTGTGGTACTTATAGTGTAGTTCTAAATGTATTCTAACGCTTCCCAAAGAGTTCTAATCATTCCAGCAATTTATTAATTTTTTAAATAATTCTAATCACCCGAGAAAGGCATTTTTCTTAAATTTAATGATACTGAATGGTGTAGTTCTAAATGTATTCTATCATTTTTCCAAGAGTTTCAGTTTTCTGATGATATAAATTATTTGTTATTTTTTAAAATAATTTTTACCACACTCGAAGAAGTATTTATAGACATATATTTGCGAGATGATAATCAATCACATTGTTTTTATTTCGAAAGTGTACTTATGAATATTTTTACGTATCTATATCTTATTACATAAAATGTTGAAAATTATTTATTAGTTATCTGTTATAAAGTATTTAAAGTTGATTTTGTCTATACATTTTCAATTAAAAGTATCAGTCATATAATCAGCCAAAAAATAACTAATATCAGTTATATTTCGAAAACTTCTGATGATATTAACTCGTGAATATGTCCTGAAACAAACTGCAAAATATAAAAATACATATAATTTGATTTTATGCAGCAAAATGACTATACTTTGTTTTTTGCCATTTAAGATCAATAATTATTAAACAGGTAGATCTGTGAAGCTGCACTATAAATGCGAATTTTGATAAAATTAATCGTATTTGTTTGTCCATTTATCCACATTTGTCCACATTTGTTCACAAAAAATATTTTTTCACCCTTGATAAAAAAATTATAAATAAATAAAACAATTATAGCATCCCAAGTGAGTCTTCTTCCAAATTACATATGGACTTGATTCTCCATCATGCGTACGCGTAATTATTTTTTGTCTATTTTTCAAAAAAAAGTTATAAATAAATTAAGGTTAAACTATTCGTCACTGACAAATAAAAACAATTGCGTGAACATACGCGTATCCATGATGGATCGAATCTCGTATGTAATTAAGAAATAAATGTACTTACGTACACAATGACGAATTGCTTAACCTTAATTTGTTCATAATTTTAAAGCGAAAACAATTACGCGTTGACAAACGCAATAGACAATTGAATCCCGTACGTTAGGAAGTAAACGCTATTACGTGTATAGGGATGAATTGTGTAATTTTAACTTGTTTATAACTTTTTTTGAAAAGTGGACAAAAAAAATTACGCGTGGACAAACACTTAAGTTAATATTGGATGGATGCGTGATGTCCGGATGATGGATGCTTGATATATCCGCACTTTAGCTTCCATGCTCATGAATCTATTGTTCCATACCACATCTCTTAGGCAGCTGGCCATTCTTGCTGCTTTGGTTTCTCTTATCTCTTGTATTCTGTTCTGGCTTGTCGTAAGCTCTATGCCTAAATATCTGAAGGTCATGACTTGTTCTATCGTCTGGTCGTTCACAGCTAATTTGCAGTGAATTGGCTCTTTGGCTGCGACTAAGGATTTCGTCTTTTGAAGATCTCCATATTAAATCGTGCTGTTTTAGTATTGAAGTTGTGTAGGTCATTCTCCTCTTCTGCCACAATCTCCGCGTTATCAGCACAGCATATTATTTTCATTTTTTCCTTATTCAACCTGTATCCTCGCTCTGTTTCATTTACATCTGATATTATTTTATATATAATAATGTGAGTTGAAGAGGAGTGGGCTGAATGAGTTTCGCTGTCTTCCTGTTGCATTTGGTATCTCTTCGCT